TATGATACAGTATACAGTGTTAACTATAGTCATCAATTTGTACAGTATATTCCTAGTACTTTTAACTGGAAATTTGTCCCTTCTGTCCACCTTCCTCCGATTCTCCCGCTCCCTCCACCTCTGATAACCACATCAGATCTCTTTTTCTATTATTATTTTTTTTTACTCAATTCTTAAGATTTCTTCTTACACAGGTATATGAGCCATTTTCTGTCATCACCCACACTCTTAATCACTATACTCTACTGCTGCCCTGCTCTGGCACTTTATCCACATAAACCCCATTCGTCCAACATTTATAATTGGAAGTGGCTCAAATTTTCATCACAGAATGATTTATATGTAGCATAGGCCCTTAAAACCCACTATCTAGGACCATTTTTCACAGTTGTGTTCCCCTGAAGCTCCACTAGTCCTGGAGGAATGGAGGCAGCTAAAGTAGCTTGATAGCCTATGGAGGGGGATAGGGGTCAGGAGGGAAATATTTGCTTCTAAGGCTCTATATTTTCTACAGTCCTAGCCCTACAAGGTGAAGAACTTAATATCTCTTTTTTTGCAATTTTCAGGCCACACCCCCCAATACTAATAATCAAGGTGAAATCACACTTTCTGGGGTAGCAAGATTTCTTGCCATGGCAGTCAGCTTATGGAGGAGGGCAATGAAGGAGGTCCACTATTCTGTTTCTTATACTGTAGATGAGCTTGAGAAAAAAAGCTATAAACTTTTTTTTTTGTTACAGTCTTATCTGTACCACTGCCAGCACCTCATATAGCATCCTCACTATTTCTCCTGTGGAGTGAACTTGTCTCATTTTTGGAGGGTGTGGGGAGCTGGCCCTTGACTGCCTTCAGTTACCTTCTCTTTGACAAGTTGGAAGTTTCTTAAAAAATCAAACACATAATTACCATATGACACAGCAATTGCATTATTGAGCATTTATCCCAGAGAAATGTAAACTCCTGTCCACACACATACAAAAATTGTACAGCAATGTTCATGTGGCTTTATTCATGATGGCTAAAAAGAACCCAGATGCTCTTCAATAGGTGAATGATTAAACAAACTGTGGTATATTCATACCACAGAATACAACTCAGCAACAAACAGGAATAGATTATTAATATATACAAGTTTGATGATTTTCAAAGACATTATGCTAAGTTAAAAAAGATCTAATCTCCAAATGTCACCTAGAGTATGATTCTATTTATGTGCTGTTCTTGAAAAGACAAAATTAAAGTGTCAAGAAAAGAGATCAGTGGTTCCCAGGGATAAGGAGTGGTAGTAGTGTGTGAATAGAAAATATTAGCATGAGGGAATTTTTTTTTGGCTAACTCTTCTTCATTATGATTATGGTAATGGTTATATGTATGAGTCTATACCTGTGTTAAAATTCATTGACCTGTACATCAAAAAATATTTTTTTGCCTTATTTTAATTTTAAAAATAAGTTTAAAATAAATTCAATATAAAAATACTAACCCTGCAGAGTTAATGAAGTATGGACCTAATTGACTTAAAATACAGTAGCATGGAGCCAAAATGTAAAAGACCTTGAATGCCCAACAGAGGAATTTGGGATTTATTCATCAAGTAGTGAAGAGGAATGAAAGTTTTTAATTTTGGCAGTGAAAAATTATTGGAATCTGTATTTGTACAAAGATCACCCTGAAAAGAGTGGAGGATAGATTGAAGAGAGTGAGACAGAAAGCAGGAGATATTCTAGCTGAAAGATAAATGCCTAAATGTGGGACAAGGAGAGTAAGAACAAAAAAAGCTTGGTTTGGGACGTGATAAAATCGGTAGGAATTGGCTGCTAATTTGATTGGCAGAAGAAAATGTTTTGTTACTGAGTTCTTTATTTGAAAGAACCCTTTTATTCCTGTGTTGTGGCTAAAAGCTTAATTCCATAAAATTTTAGAGCAGCAGGGCTTTGGGTCTATTTGGTGGACAAAACTGTCTTGTGTCCGAACAGAAGTTCTGGGTCACAGTCACTGAGGCAGAACTAGCCATTCCAAAGTCTGCAGACTCATTACAGTCTGACAGATCTGTGAATGCTGGCTCTGTCCCCAGATTCCCATAATAATAATAGCTAACTCTTACTGACTGCTTACCATGTGCTAGGCCCTGTTTTAAGTGGTTTGTATACAGTTTGATCATGTCAAAAACTCTCGGAGACTGTATGATTATCATTCCCTGTTTCAACATGCAAAAATTATGACACAGACCTGCTTGTAATTCACACAGAAAGTAAGTGATTGAGCCAATATTCAAAACTTAGGCAGCCTGAGTCTAAGGCCCAGCTCTTGAATGTTATAGTATGCCAGAGGTCCTTAAAAGCAGGTGAATAGAAAGAGAAAACCTCTTTGGCAGCTTTTTCTGCCTTGACAGCTTCCTTCCAATCATTTCTGCTTTCCATGTGAACTATTATTGTTGTTTTTTTTTCTTCCCTTTGCCCATCATAAAATATTACTGTCCTATAATCAGTTCCCTCAGTCACTTGGTAGAAAAACTCTTCTTAGTAGCCTTCATTTCCCTGCCTCTATTGTAGATATTTTGGTGTAAATATTGTAGATATTTGGTGACTCTTGGTGAGTCTTCCTCCTAGTTTATCCTGATAGGCAACTCTGTGTTTATATATTTCAGAGTCAGAAAGTAGGTGGCTGAGGGACTACTGGGATAAATTGAGTCGGCCTGCCTTCTGAGTCAGTTCACAAGCACGTAGAGTAGGGAAGTTTTATCTTAACCACAGGCAGATATCAGGGAGCCCCAGGAGGGAACAAATTTTGCTGAAGGGAGGCTGTGCATGTTAATAGTGGGTCAAGCAAACTACAGACAGCAGGTCAAATCCAGCTATTACCTGCTTTTGTAGGTAAAATTTTATTGGAACACAGCTATGCCCATTCATGTTTTGTCTATCACTGCTTTTGTACTGCCAGAGTTGAGTCATTACAATAGAGATCATATGGCTGGCAAAACCTAAAATACCTGCTATCTGGCCCTTTATAAAAACATTTGCTGGGGCGCGTGGGTGGCTCAGTCGTTAAGCGTCTGCCTTCGGCTCAGGTCATGGTCCCAGGGTCCTGGGATCAGGCCCTGCATCAGGCTCGCCGCTCCGCGGGAAGCCTGCTTCTCCCTCTCTCACTCTCCCTGCTTGTGTTCCCTCTCTTGCTGTGTCTCTCTCTGTCAAATAAATAAATAAAATCTTTAAAAAAAATTTGCCAACTCCTGGTATATAGGATGGAGCATCCTGAGTGATGGGAGATTTTTGTGTAGGGAAATACTAAGAGATTAAATCTGTATTTTTTTTAAAGATTTTATTTATTTATTTGGCAGAGAGAGAGAGAGAGCACAAGCAGGGGGAGTGGGAGAGAGAGAAGCAGGCTCCCCACTGAGCAGCCCTGACGTGGGGCTCGATCCCAGGACCCTGGGATCATGACCCGAGCCGAAGGCAGATGCTTAACTAACTGAGGCACCCAGGCACCCCAAGATTAAATCTGTATTTTAAATAAAGACATTTGAGAACATTGAGAGGAAGAAACTAGATGCAGGAACCAGAAAAGAAGTTATCAAAACAGGGTAGAAAAGAACTAGGGAAGTCTTAGTGCAAATAGATAAAAGGGATCAGCTTTTAGAGATGCCAGTCGAGATAGGTTCTCCAGAATTTAGTTGAAGTGTGTGTGTGTGTCCGTGTGTACATGTGTCTGTTGGGGAGGGAGAATCTCCATTCTGAGCAAAAAGGAGGACAGGGAGAGGAAGACAGTACAAAAACAGGTAGAGAGAAAAATACCCTCCTATTTCTTTAATTTGTATTTGAAATGACCGCTATATTCCTTGCTGCAGAAATATTTCTAGAAAATTTCTATAGGGCTGATTTTCCAAGCCTGTATGTATTAGGCAACATTTGGCCCTACTGTTTTACATGGCAGCATTGGACTCTGAGAGAAATTTGTGAAGCTTACTTGACCAGGGATAAAAATGATATGGACTCTGAGAAACAAACTGAGGGTTCTAGAGGGGAGGGGGCTGGGGGGATGGGTTAGCCTGGTGATGGGTATTAAAGAGGGCACATACTGAATGGAGCACTGGGTGTTATACGCAAACAATGAATCATGGAACACTACATCAAAAACTAATGATGTAATGTATGGTGATTAACATAACATAATAAAATTTTAAAAATGATATGGACTGATTGCAAAGATCACATTGTTCCGTTTTTCCTTTTTTATCAAAATTGATATAGTGACCAGATGTACTCTCACCAGAAATACATTGCTGAAGTCTGATTATTGAGAGAAGCTGTGAAGGATGTGGACATGGTGTCTTTTTTTTTTCCCTGTGAGAACAATTCATGTAAATCTGAAATATAAAAATACTGTTATCTACTCTTAAGAAACTTCCTCAAGTTCTACCATATCTACAAGATCATGGACTAAGAATAGCACCTTAAGAAATTTCACGGGTCACTTGTTTTGGGTAATCATAGGCAGAAACTACTGAGTTCATGCACTGCCCCAACTTGCCATCTCCCAGAGGCTTGCTTCCTTCCTGCTGAAGACCCATGAAGATGTAAAATCAGAAAAAAATATACCAAGTCAGGATCCAGCTCTGGCTATGCAAAGCACCACCCCTGTTACATAAAAGGCTGTGTGTCTTAGTCCCCAGAACTACACTTTCTCCTCCAGAGGATGACCATAATTCTCAACCACAGGGTTTTACTCCCCTCCATGAACTGAGTGTATCCGTGAAGTATATAGTCCTCCATTACACCTTGTTGGGGGAGACTGGACTATCTTTTGCAACCAGCCTCAAGGAGCCAGGAATGGCAGACAGCCATGGCGTGTGCATCAGGGGACCAAACTGAAAGTGTACATGAAAAGGGTATAATGGGGCAAGTCTGCTATGACCTTTGTTTCACTCTCAGTCACCAATTATTTTAGCATGGTACACTTAGAGTAAATGACCAGTTGTAATAATGTCATTATGTTTGTTGCAGGTTGCACATGCTCAAGCACAGATTTTATGGCCTTGTTACTCAGAAGGCTGCTGGCTTCTGGCCCTGCCTCGACAGTTCCTAAAGAGGTCACAAATTCTAAGGTACAGGGGAATAGCAAGTGAGATTGCTCTTCCCACTTCCTTTTTTTCTGTTTTCACTATTTCCTTTTCTCCTTCTTTCCTGAACTGGGGTCCTGTCAATCTTGTTACACCATCATTGGTATAATCTGGAATGACATGTAGGTTAGAAATAATTCTACAAGAGTTGTGAAAAGATTCTTCTAGACCAGGAGTTGTGGCTTTATAATTAAGTATCTGAATGGCTTGGGAAACATTGCTTACTATGTCTGATCTCTAATTTTCTCATCTTTATTAAGAGGTAGAACCAGATGAGCTCTTAGATACTCAAAATCCATTTGAGATGCATTCAAATCCATGAACACAATTGTTTGCAGCTCCCAGTGTTTCTATGAGAAGATACAGAGATATCCTTCAGGGTTTACAATAAAGGAGAAGGGAGAAAGGAGAGAGGAGGATTGAGAATGGAGTCTCTGATGAGCAGACATTGTTCATTGAGAGAGGAGGGGAGAGAGGAGTTAATTCTTTTTTTTTTTTTTTTTTTTTGAGACAGAACGAGAGAGAGCACATGAGAGGGGGGAGGGTCAGAGGGAGAAGCAGGTTCCTTGCCGAGCAGGGAGCCCGATGCGGGACTCGATCCAGGGACTCCAGGATCCTGACCTGAGCCGAAGGCAGTCACTTAACCAACTGAGCCACCCAGGCGCTCCGAGAGGAGTTAATTCTAACCTATGACATCTGGGGAGGCCTCTAGGACAAGGTGAGAACCGAGCATGATTTGAATGTAGGGGAAAATGATTTCAGTTTTAGATGTTTGAGTTTGAGTCTTGAATCATTAGAGAAACAAGCTTTGGAGCCAGACTCCCTGGGTTTTAATCTAAGCTCCACCACTTAGCAGCTATAACATCTTGGGAACGCTACTTAACCTCTCAGAGCCTTAGTTTTATCATCTTTAAAATGGAGAATAAATGGTAATTTATTAAGAGTAAGTGAGTTCACATATATAAAGTTCTTAGAACAGTGTGTGGTAGTAATGTTTCTGTACAGAGAAATGCTAGGAGACTAGGAAAATCTTTCTATACATAGAGTTTTTTGTAGGTATTATTGAAGATAGAAGTTAGAGCTAGGAACCAGACAGAAAGTTATTTCAAGACTACATATGGGAGAGGATAAAGTGTGATCTAGATAATGCTGCCAGGAACCAAAAGGATAGGTCAGTATTTAAAGATGAAATATCTAATATATAGTCTTTAGAATCTATAGGAGTTACTCAATATAACATTTATCACCCAGTCTAAGATGCTATCAATTGCACCCTTATTTCATGAAGTAACAGGAAATTAAAAACTCTGCCAATTAAACTGTGTCTTGCCATTGAATATAAGGCTCATCCTGATTTAAAGACTTATTTATTTATTTGAGAGAGAGAGAGAGAGAGAGAAAGAGAATGGGGGAGGGGCAGGAGGAGAGGGAGAGAGAGAATCTCGAGCAGACTCCCTGCTGAGTGAGGAGCCCAATGTAGAATTTGGTTTAACAACCCCGAGATCATGACCTGAGCCAAAATCAAGAGTTAGACAATTAACCGACTGAGCCACCCAGGTGCCCCAAGACTCATCCTGATTTAATAGATGTTAAAATGTGGGGGGAAATGTACATGTTATAATGGATGAAATAAGATATGTGCACAATAAAGATGGTGGAGGAAAGAGAGTGGAACAAAACCCTTTCTGTAACTACAAATTTCTATTTGAGACAAGGTGAATTCTCTTACTTTAGTATTCCCAGAAAGTTTGCCTAAGACTTTTCATTCCCTGATAGGTAATACTGGAAAGCCTAGGGAATCTGGGTGCTTTTATTTAAGATGGTGTGTTTTAACTACCCTATCTCTTTCCACGTGGTCTGTATTTAACACAAAACAGAGTGAAGAATAGATCAGTGAGAAGTGGCGTTTTTTTCATGCTTGAGAAACTCGTTCACATGGACTGGGCCTATTACTACACAAATGTATTGAGTCTTTCTTGAACTTCAGATTTTGAATAGATTTGGGTCAGAAGCTGTTGAGGTAATCTGTCTTTCTTCTTGATTTGCCTCCCCCCAGTTTATCCTATTTGTTCTTTGCCATCCTTCCACCAAAGGAAAAATCTTCATTAACAGAAGTCAATGCACCTTGTAATCTCTTGGGTAATTTATAACAGGAGCATGAAGGGAAGTAGGCACTGGTATGTTCCTCTTGAAATCCCATGACAACATGGCTGTGCCCTATATGGGGATGGAGACAAGAAAGATGCTGAGAGACCATTCTGCCCTGACTTCCCCCGCCCCATCATTCTAGATGCTAGACATCCTGGTCTTCAGTGGCTTTTAATATCCCACCACCAACAACAACTAGGAGATGACCACAGTTCATCATGCAATAGTTATCATAGGACTGTATTTCCCAGGTACACATTTTAACTCTATTCCTGGGGCTAGAAGAAATCTTGTTCTTAACCTAAAGTAAACCTTGAGGTTAGCTAGATAAGGGGACTGAATTGTGAGTATGTATGTAATCAGTGAAACAAACACAATGCCCTCATCCCTTTTGTCTTTTTGTTCATTTTCCTCTTCTTCATTCAGAATTTAAAGAATGAGGAATCATCATGGCACCTTTATTTATTTGGGGCTGGATAAACCAGGAGTAGTTTGGATCTGCTCAAGCAAGCAGCCTGTGGACTTTCAGCTCCATAGCCAGATCTGGAAAAGAGGCTGAGGATTTCAGGACACTGGTGAAAGAAAGATTGTTTTCTTCTTTTTCCCTGCCTCTGGTACGACACTACTTTAAACCCCAATATCTAGTATAATGTATAACATGTGCAACATAGGAGGACTACTGGACTCTCAGATCTTGTTTTCCCATTTCTAACCACTTGTCCCTGAACATGTTTTGAGTCCTTATTTTGGGCAAGGCAATATCCTTGGTACTGTAGGGAGTGCATGGGTAAAAAAGGCACTGTTGTGGGATGCCTGGGTGGCTCAGTCGGTTAAGCATCCAACTCTTGATTTCAGCTCAGGTCATGATCTCAGGGTCGTTGAGATCGAGCCCTATGTTGAGCTCCACACTGAGTGGGAGTCTGCTTCTCTCTCTCTCTCTCTCTCCCTTTCCTTCTGCCCCTCTCCCCCACTTGTGCTGTCTCTCTCTCTTTCTCTCTCTCTCTAAAATAAATCAGTAAATCTTTAAAAAAGGGGGGCACTGTTGCTGCCCTCCAGGGGATATCTAATAAAAGTAAAGCCCATACATGTGCAGATGATCTTAATATATATAGAGCCAGTGAGTGATATGTGCTATAATCAAAGTATTAACTTCAGTGATAGAATAGTGGGATGGGTTGGAGGGAGATAAAAATTTCAAACTTGGTAAATTATGATTGCTTCAAGGTGATGTTGAATGATGAGCATTATCTTGAATGATGTAATAATGGGAGGAGATTAATAAGTAATCTAAGAATTTGTAAGGTCTTTTTGTGGGTTAGATTCAAGAATCAGTTGTAGCTGGAACATATGTGGTAAGGATGTCTTTGGGTTAGAAAGCAAGCAAAAGACAGACCTTGGTGGTTCCAATCTGTTTAATCAAAGGACTTTATGTTGGAGAAGTTGAATAAGACAGTTTTCTCAAATGCCCAGAAGAATGTCTAGCTCATAATAGACATTAATAAATAATTCTTAAATGAATGCTTGAGATTTGGAACAGTGGAATAAGATAGAGTTCATATTTGTACACTAGACAGATTACTCCAGGAATGATAAAACCTTGCTGATGAATTAGAAGAGAGACTGCTGATGTGTGGGTCATTTGAGTCTCTCCTAGCAATCTAATTGACACTAATAAGGGCTTACACCAGGAGAGGAGCCATGTGAATAAAGGATGGACAGAGTGGGGTTGCCTTCCAGAGGTTAAAAGTATAGAATTGGATGTGTAGTTATTCTTAGAAAATATATTATAAGCCCCAAGGAGTGTGGAAGCAGCTGAAACATCAGCAGCATTCCTGTTCTCGGGCTGTTGAATGCAGCGACCCGGTAGGAGCAGGATCCCACAATCCCCAGGGGCAGGGCATAAGTTAGGAGCTATGAAAGAATGTGACCCTCAGTCTCCGCTTTCTGCACCTAGCAATTGCTAGCCCAAACATCCTGCTCCTCCCTTATCCCATGACTGACTCCCTGCGTGCCCATGTGTAGGGAAAAATGCAAGCCTGCTTCAAGATATTGCCATCCCTTTGTACTCCTTTCCCACGCTTGGAGGCATCTGTCCTTGCTTTTCTGATAACAAAACAAAACACAAAATAAAAGCTATGTGCAGGATTCAGCTCTCCCTTGCAGAGGCAGCCCTGCACAGCCACTCAGATTGGTGTCTGAGAACTTTGTTTCAGTGCGTGACAACATTGGATAGGGGTGGAGTGAGTGTGATAGATGGCATCCAGCATCAGTGACTGATGAAAAGGAAGTTTGTCTTAGAGAAGTAGAAACTGTGGTGGAGGAGGAGAAAGAGAATGAGGGTCAGTAGAAGGAGGAGAAAGTGGTAAAAGCCACCCTCCCATTGTTCTAAGATTTATTTCCATGGGCCACTTTCTCCCCTTAGGCCTATTCCAGAAACCTCCTCCAGGACTTCTAGTGAGGGTTTACATATTGTTAGACCATACTCCCTCTGCTCTTCACAATGAGGGAAGGTGTCTGGAAACTGAGAAAGCCAAAGACCATGTGAGCAAAGGAAGTGCCTACCATACACAATCAGAAGTGGACTTGATATTGCTTAAGGAGTCTATTGGCATCATGATCAAGATACCAATATTTTAAACAAAGGTCACTTTATCATGTGTTTGTTCTGGAATTGGGAATTTAATGACTGAATTTTGTGTGTCCCCCCACCCCACCCAGCTCCGGCCCCACAGTTCATAGGTTTAAATCCTAATCCATAATGTGATGGTATTAAGAGGGAGGGCCTCTGGAAGGTAATTATGTCATAAGGATGGAGCCCTCATGAATGAATTAATGCCCTTATAAGAATGGATACTAGAGAGCTTGCTGTCTCCCTCTGCTCTCTCTGCCATGGGAGAATATGAGAAGATAGCCATTGGCACAGCAGGAAGAGTACCCTCACCAAAAAGCAGATCTAATAGTGCCTTGATCTTGTATTTTGCCGTCTACAGAACTGTGAGAAATAAAGTTTTGTTGTTTAAGTCACCTATTCTATGGTATTTTTGTTATTGCAGCCTGAACTGATTAAGACAAAAACTGGTACTGAGAAGTGGGGTGCTGCTGTAACAAGTACCTAAAAATGTGGAAGCGGTTTTGGAACTGGGTAATGGATAGAGGCTAGAAGAGTTTTGAGGTGGCATGATTTAGGCATAAAAATCTGCATTAAATAATAAGCCCTCTGTGTTACTTTATGTTTACTGAAGTTTTTTTTTTTATGCTTACTAAAGTTTTTAAAGAGCTACTTGATAGTAAAACGACAGATTTTTTTTAAAATTCAAGTTAGTTAACATATAGTGTAGTACTGGTTTCAGGAGTAGAATTTAGTGATTCATCACTTACATATAATACCCAATGCTCATCCCGATAAGTGCCCTCCCTAATGCCCATCACCCATTTAGCCCATCCCCCACCCACCTCCACTTCAGGAACCCTCACTTTGTTCTCTATAGTTAAGAGTCAGTTATGGTTTGCCTCCCTCTCTGTTTTTATCTTATTTTATTTTTCCTTCCCTTCCGCTATGTTCATTTGTGTGGTTTCTTAAATTTCCCATGAGTACAATCATATACTATTTGTCTTTCTCTGACTTATTTCACTTAGCATAATACACTCTAGCTCCATCCATGTTGTTGCAAATGGCAAGATTTCATTCTTTTTTCATGGCTGAATAATATTCCAGTGTGTGTGTGTGTGTGTGTGTGTGTGTGTGTGTGTGTGTATACCAGATCTTCTTTATCCATTCATCAGTTGATGGACATTTGGGCTCTTTCCATAATTTCGCTATTGTTGATAGTGCTGCTATAAACACTGGGGTGCACGTGGCCCTTCTAATCAGCATTTTTGTATCCTGTGGATAAATACCCAGTAGTGCAATTGTTAGGTTGTAGGGTACTTCTATTTATAACTTCTTGAGGAACCTCCATACTGTTTTCCAGAGTGGCTGCACCAGTTTGCATTCCCACCAACAGTGCAAAAGTGTTGCCCTTTCTCCACATCTCGCCAATATCTGTTGTTCCCTGTATTGTTAATTTTAGCCATTCTGACTGATGTAAGTTTGTATCTCAATGTGGTTTTGATTTGTATTTCCCTGATGGCAAGTGATATGGAGCAATTTTTCATGTGTCTGTTAGCCATTTGTATGTCTTCTTTGGAGAAATGTCTGTTCAGTTCTTCTGCCCATTTCTTAACAGGATTATTTATTTTGGGGGTGTTGATTTTCATGAGTTCTTTATAGATTCTAGATACTAGCCCTTTATCCAATATGTCATTTGTGAATATCTTTTCCTATTCCATCAGTTGCCTTTTAGTTTTGTTGGTTGTTTCCTTCGCTGTGCAAGAGCTTTTTGTCTTGATGAGGTCCCAATAGTTTATTTTTGCTTTTGTTTCCCTTGCCTCCAGAGATGTGTCTAGTAAGAAATTGCTACAGCCAAGGTCAAAGAAGTTCCTGCCTGTGTTCTCCTCTAGGATTTTGATGGTTTCCTGTCTTACATTTTGGTCTTTCATCCATTTTGAATTTATTTTTGTGTGTGATGGAAGAAACTGGTCCAGCTTCGTTCTTCTGCATGTTGCTGTCCAGTTTTCCCAGCACCATTTGTTGAAGAGACTGTATTTTTTCCATTGGATATTCTTTCCTGTTTTGTCAAAGATTAGTTGACAACATAGCTGTGGGTCCATTTCTGGGTTTTCTATTCTGTTCCACTGGTCTATGTGTCTGTTTTTGTGCCAATACCGTACTGTCTTGATCACTACAGCTTTGTAATATAACTTGAAGTCCAGAATCATGATGCCTTCAGCTTTGTTTTTCTTTTTCAGGATTGCTTTGGCTATTTGGGGTCTTTTGTGGTCCATATGAACTTAAGGATTATTTGTTCTAGCTCTGTGAAAAATCCTGATGGTATTTTGATGGGGATTGCATTAATGTGAGATTGCTTTGGGTAGTATGGACATTTTAACAATGTTTGCTCTTCTAACCCATGAGCATGGAATGTTTTTCCATTTCTTTGTATCCTCTTCAAATTCCTTCATAAGTGTTCTATAGTTTTCAGAGTGCAGATCTTTTACCTCTTTGGATAGGTTTATTCCTAGGTATCTTAACAGGTTTTGGTACAGTTGTAAATGGGATCAATTCCTTGATGTCTCTTTCTGCTCCTTCATTATTGGTGTATAGAAATGCAACAGATTTCTGTACATTGATTTTATATTATGACTTTGCTGAATTCATGGATCAGTTCCAGCAATTTTTTGGTGGAGTCTTTCAGGTTTTCTACATAGAGTATCATTTTGTCTGCAAAGAGTGAGTTTGACTTCTTCCTTGCCAATTTGGATGCCTTTTATTTCTTTTTGTTGTCTGATTGCTGAGGCTAGGACTTCCAGTACGATGTTGAACAACAGTGGTGAGAGTGGACATCCCTGTCATGTTCCTGAACTTAGGGGAAAAGCTCTCAGTTTTCCCCCATTGAGGGTGATATTAGCTGTGGGTCTTTCATTTATGGCTGTTATGATGGAAGTATGTTCCTTGTTTCCCTACTGTCTTGGGGGTTTCTAACAAGAAAGGATGTTGTATTTTGTCAAATGCTTTTGCTGCGTCTATTGAGAGGATCATATGGTTTTTATCCTTCCTTTCTTAATGTGGTGTATCACATTGATTGATTTGTGGATATTGAACCACACCTGCAGCCCAGGAATAAATCCCACTTGATCATGGTGACTAATCCTTTTAATTTACTGTTGGAGTTGATTAGCTAGTATCTTGGTGAGAATATATGCATCCATGTTCATC